ATAAGAGGAGGTAGGCTTCCATCTACTAAATGATGAACAGGAGACAGCCAGAGGAAGAGGAGACAGGGTGGTGTGGAGAGTGCACTAAACAGAAGGAACAGCAGGAATAGCACATGGGAAGGCTCAGAATTAAAAGAGAATGGCCTAAAAAATCTGACAAAACTATCTCAAGGAATAACCCAGAATACAAAAAAACAAAGAAAAACCTTTCAAACATAAAGACTTTTATCACATCATTACTTATGACAGTGGAATACTGAAAAATATCTATTTCAATAAAAGAGACTTGGTTAAGTTATAGACGGTACATCCACAATATGGAATATTTTATAGCCATTTAACGCTTACAAAGTATTTTTTTAAATATCAAAAATGCCTATGTTGGGGTCCACCCCATGGCGTAGTGGTTAAGTCTGGCACACTCTGCTTCGGCAGCCTGGGTTCACAGGTTCAGATCCCAGGCGCAGACCTACACCACTTGTCAAGCCATGTTGTGGCAGCAATCCACACAAAAAATAGAGGAAGATTGGCACAGATGTTAGCTCAGGGCTAATCTTCCTCAAGCAAAAAAAAAGAGGAAGATTGGCAACAGACATTAGCTCAGAGTGAATCTTCCTTACCCCCCAAAAAAATGCCTATGTTAAAATGTTGAATGAAAAGGTAAGATACATAATTTTATATCCAATATGACCACAACCATGTTAAATGTATATATTTATATATATATTAAATTACAATTCAATATAAATATTAAATTAAATTAATGTTTAGTATATAATATATGGAATTTATATTGTATATCTAATTAAATGGAAGGAGACAAGTTAAAATATTAATAGTGATTATCTTTGGATAGTGAGATTATAGGTGGTTTTTATGTATGCTATTTTATAGCATGATGGTTAGTCTGGAGCAAAACTCAGCTTCACGATTTACTATCAGTGTGAACTTGGGCAAGTCACTTAACTTCTCTGCATCTCAGTTTCCTCATCTGTAAAATATGAACACTTATAGCACCTATGTGACAGGTTGTTGTAAATATTATCACGGTACAGTATCTGGGCATGCTGCTGCTATTATTGTATTGATTATTAGTATTCTGCTCTCTACTTTTTAATTTTTCTATAAGGCATTCATATAACTTTTATAATAGGAAAAATTTTAAATTATTCTTCGTTAAAATAAGTCCCTCCTATTGTGAGCTAGTGGTATGCGCTATCTTAACTGAGAACACCGAGAAGGGGCAGTTAACCCGTCTTGGGGAAGCACAGACAGACGTCAAAGAAGGATCGCCGAAAGAGAAGGATGGTGTCTGAGCTGACTTTTCAAGAACAAGGACTTAGGGAGAAGAAGGGCAGAAGGGAACTCAAGACAAACGGAACATCAAGCAAAGACTTAGAACCTCAGTAGTTTCCAGGCAGAAGGAGGCTTGAAGATCATCCAGTCTAATTGTCCACCTGCGCAGGTCTCCCTCCGCAGCATGCCCTACAGATTCTTAGGTGCATTCAGGGAAAAGGAGCTCATCACTTTAAGAGGAAACCCATTCCATGGTTGGACAGTTCTCTTTGTTAGAAAGTGTATCCATGTATGGATACTCATCTACCTTCGCACTTGCATACATTTTGCATCAGAGCAAAATCCAAGCAACACGCCCACACTAACAGACACATTTGGGGTGTAAGAGTCACCTAAATATAGTCCATCAAGGCAGCAGTCCTCAATCTACTGCGTGGCTGCGGTTTTAGGCTTAACTTTGACACGGCTTACAAACATCACTAACTATTGTTTTTAAGTGCAAAAGCCGTGAGAGTGTTGAAAGTTTAGGTAAGAAGTAATATATGGTTGCAATAGAAAGGGAGGAAATTAAAAATATGAAAATAGTGATATTTTTATTATTTATAACAGTATAATTGATTCTGAAGAAAACAAGTGAATTTATGCACCACATGAAAATTATTTTGACAGTACTTAGCACAATGTAAAGAAGAGATGGAACTGGAAAATGGTTAAGCATGTGGCTAGAGAAAGATCAGTGTTGTATGCTAACGGGAGGACGTTAGAAGTACATTAAGTAATTTAAAGGCTGGGCCTGGTGAAAGGCTCTATCGTAACCTTGCAGGTTTGAGGCCTGTCGGAAGCTGAAGAACATCAGCAAATGTTATACTAGCAGGTGCAGACCCTGTAGCAACTGTTACCTGTCCCAACAACTTTGAAGCATAGTTAAAACTAAGCTACATGATAAAGATAGCACACAAACCAGCGGGGGAAAGACAGATTACTCGATTAATGTGTTGGGACATCTGGATAAAAACCTGGAAAATAAAGTTGGGTCTCTACTTTACCCTTTCTATCAAAATTAACTCCTGATGCATCAAATCCTTAAATGTGAAAAACAAAACTATAAGAAGAAATTTTTAAAAAAATTACAGAGAGGTGAAGACTTTATTTCTAATACGACACAACACCCAGAAGTCATAAAATAAATATTTTACATAGGAAAAATCTCACCAAAAGAAAAACTCAGAAAAAAATACTTGTAATTCATATCACACGCAAAGGGTCTATTTTCGTAATATATAAAGCTCTCCTATAAATCAACTCAATGGCAAATAGAAAAAGAAATACAACAGCTTTTATTTTATTTTTGTGTGTGTGTGTGTGAGGAAGAGGGGCTCTGAGCTAACATCTGCCAATCTTCCTCTTTTTGCTGAGGAAGACTGGCCCTGGGCTAAGATCCGTGCCCATCTTCCTCCACTTTATATGGGACGCCGCCACAGCATGGCTTGACAAGCAGTGCCTTGGTGCGCTCCCAGCATCCGACCCGCGGAACCCCGGGCTGCCGCAGCGGAGCGCGCGCACTTAACCGCTTGCGCCAGCAGGCCAGCCCCTACAACAGCTTTTAATCACATGAAAAGATGCTCAATTGCATTCATAATAAGAGAAACACAAATTAACATTAAGCCACATATTTTTCACCTATAAAATGGGCAGAGCTCAAGAAGTGTGATAATACACTCATATGCTGATGGTGAGTTGTAAATTTGTAAAATTTTTACAAGAGAAATTTGACATTATCTATCAAAATTGTAAATGTGCAGGGGCCGGCCCAGTGGCATAGCGGTTAAGTTCGCGTGCTCCGCTTTGGCGGCCGGGGGTTCGCAGGTTTGGATCCCAGGCGCGGATTGACGCACCGCTCATCAAGCTATGCTGTGGTGATGTCCCATATACAATGTAGAGGAAGATGGGCACAGATGTTAGCTCAGAGCTAATCTTCCTCAGCAAAAAGAAGAGGATTGGCAACGGATGTTAGCTCAGAGCCAGTCTTCCTCACCAAAAAAAAAAAAAAAATTTTGCAAATGTGCAGTATTTGACCTAGCAATTCCATCTCTACCAATCTATCCTTCCTATATCTTAACACACATAAAGTAAGGTATGTGTAAGGTTACCCATTGCACCATTGTTTATAAGAGCAAAGACAGAAAAAACCTGAATGTCTACCACTCTCAGACTACTAAGTGGCTATTTTCAAAAAGAGGCAGATATTTATGTTCAGACATGAAAACATCTCTAAGATATATGGTTAACTGGAAAAAGCAAAGTGTCTAGCATACTATGATTTGTGTTAATAATAGAGAGTTATTCCGATAATAGATGGAGATGCATTTTGATTGCATATGTTTAGAATATTTCCGGAAGAATAACCAAAAAGTACTAACCGTGGTTGCCCTTCAGAGGCATGCCCAATAGCTGGAAGTTTGGGTTAGGAATGAGAGAAACTTTCTACTGTAATGCATCTTTGTACCTTTTGAATTTTTGTCATGAACGTGGATTGCTATTCAAAATAAATTGAATTTAAAAACAAACTCTCTGCTCAAAGCAAATCCCTTCCTCTTCTCTGCTACCCCAGTACTTTTTACTCGCTCTCTTGTGTTTGAATATTTATGTCACCTACAAAACCATGAACAACTTGAGGGCTGCAACTGCGTTTCTATCAAGTTTCCATCTCCAGTATCTAGTACAGTGCCTTACACATGGAGGGAGACTTAAAAAGTGATGTCTTGAAGAGTGAGGAAGACCTTTTCCTTGGAAGGAAGTCTGGCCACCTTTATATACATCCTAATACAGCAGCTGAGCAGGGCCACAAGGCTCTAAGAACATCTACCCACCAGTCCTGGGATTCTGCCTTGAAACATGTCCTTATCCTTTAAGAGAAGGGAGGGACAGAGAGACAGAAGAAGAGAGAAACAGACAGAGAGAAACTGAGACCGACTTAAAGATCAGACTGGACTCCAGAACAGTGCTGCTAAGGAAAATACATTTGAAAAAAAAAAAAAGTGTGATCATGTGAATGGATGGGAAGGAGATCATTTGAGATCTTATATAATTGAAACAAAAGCTATGCTGAGAGAAAAGCTGACTTGTCATAAAGTCCACTTTAAGCCTTCTGTTGCTATTTCCATCCCTGTTAATGATGGGTTTACCTAGGGCAGAGGCTGCAATTTCAAGTTAAGCGACCAGATACAGGCATCATATTCTATAGCTAATTCAGTTGATTTCATCTCAGCACACTTAAGCTAAGCATTTCCTAAAGGCAGGGTTGGCCGACATTTTTATTAGCAATAATCTCTGCCCCCTTCGGATTATCTACAGATTTAAGACCACATAATCATTCTCTACGTCACAGATGGGGCCAGGGGAGGGTACAGACTAAGAGGATCTGAATCCCTCCTTAACACTTGCTTCTTCCTTATCAGCGAGATTAGAGCAGTCGACAGCAGTCTGCTTATGCGTCCAGACCCAGAAGGCTGGGCTGGGCTGGGCTGCCCAGGGCCTGAGGAGGTGCAGCTCTGAGGGCAATGCCTGGGACCGTAGGTCTGCTGGTCCAGGCCGGTCTCTCTAAGACAGCGCAGGGCACGTGATCCATCCTCCTAGTGGCAGCGAGCAGGCTAGGGACCCTAGCACAGACAGGAAGGAAAAGCAGGGGTCCACTTCCCGCAGCCATGCTGAAACAGAGCGAGAGGAGGCGATCTTGGAGCTACAAGCCCTGGAATACTACGGAGGGCGAGGACGAGTCCCAGGCAGGGGACAGCCAACACCGCAGGAGCATCTGCTCCGTGGGGGCCCGTTCCGGCTCCCAGGCCAGCATCCCACCGTGGACCGAGGGCAACTACAACTACTATATCGAGGAGGACGAGGACGGGGAGGAGGAGGATGAACTGAAGGACGACCTGCCCGAGGACCAGCTGCCAGAGGAGGCCAACACCGTCCAGTCGGACGGCTGCCCGGACCCTCCGGCCGTGTCGTCCACGCTGAACGTGAACGTGGGCGGCCACAGCTACCACCTGGACTACATCGAGCTGGCCTGCTACCCCAAGACGCGCCTGGGCCGCCTGGCCACCTCCACCAACCGCAGCCGCCAGCTGGCCCTGTGCGACGACTACGAGGCACAGGCGGACGAGTACTTCTTCGACCGCGACCCAGCCGTGTTCCAGCTCGTCTACAATTTCTACTTGTCCGGGGTGCTCATGGTGCGCGACGAGCTGTGCCCGCGCAGCTTCCTGGAGGAGCTGGGCTACTGGGGCGTGCGGCTCAAGTACACGCCGCGCTGCTGCCGCATCTGCTTCGAGGAGCGGCGCGACGAGCTCAGCGAGCAGCTCAAGATCCAGCGCGAGCTGCGCGCCCAGGCGCAGGCCGAGGAGGCCGAGGAGCTCTTCCGCGACATGCGCTTCTACGGGCCGCAGCGGCGCTGCCTCTGGAACCTTCTGGAGAAGCCCTTCTCGTCGGTGGCCGCCAAGGTCATCGGAGTGGCCTCCAGCCTCTTCGTGCTCATCTCCGTGGTAGCGCTGGCGCTCAACACGGTGGAGGAGATGCACCATCAGACGGAGCAGGGCGCGGGCGGCGGCGACCCGCGGCCCATCCTGGAGCACGTGGAGATGCTGTGCATCGCCTTCTTCACGCTGGAGTTCCTGCTGCGCCTCGCCTCCACGCCCGACCTGCGGCGCTTTGCGCGCAGCGCCCTCAACCTGGTGGACCTCGTGGCCATCCTGCCGCTCTACCTGCAGCTGCTGCTTGAGTGCTTCACCAGCGAGGACCAGCAGCACGGCAAGGGCTCGCCGCTAGAGCACGACCTGGAGACCGTGGGCCGCGTGGGCAAGGTGGGCCAGGTGCTGCGCATCATGCGCCTCATGCGCATCCTCCGCATCCTCAAGCTGGCGCGCCACTCCACCGGGCTGCGCGCCTTCGGCTTCACGCTGCGCCAGTGCTACCAGCAGGTGGGCTGCCTGCTGCTCTTCATCGCCATGGGCATCTTCGCCTTCTCCGCGGCCGCCTACTCCGTGGAACACGACGTGCCCGGCACCAACTTCACCAGCATCCCCCACGCCTGGTGGTGGGCGGCGGTAAGTACCAAGGCCCTTGGGCTTTTCCGCTCTCTTCCCCTTTCCTTGGTTATCAGCCACCTGTCTTCGTCCCCTGATTTTTCCTTGCCCAGCAACCATCGCATCGCTGCCTCCAGCTAACAAAAACAGAGGTGGGTGTGAGAGGGTTGGAAAGACATAGACACTGTAGTAAGCAACTGAATTCGACTTGGTCCTAGGAATCTCCAAATCTAGGTTTAGTTTTAAAACAGATCTTACAGAGGATTCATTGTTGATGTATGTGAGAAGCTCCATCATTCTTGTTATTTGCCACTTACTGAACACCTATTGTCCTAAGTAGTTTATAAAGTTTATCTTGTTCCAGCATCACAACCCTGTGAGGTGGTTATGCTCAACATTTTTTTAAAAGAGGACAAATTGGAAGTGGCTTCAATTTTTGGAGGAAACTGTAGATTTAGTCAGAGGAGGAAGTAAGACTTGGCTGAACAATGTCAACCCTAACTGAAATCCGTCTGGTTGTAGCTAAATCTGAGCGTAGAAAGAAGCGTCTAAAATGGCAACTTGCGCCAGTGTCACTAAAATTCTTTCGGGACCATGTGTTATTGCCCCATTTTACAGCTAGAGGAATTGAGGTGCCGAGAGTTTGAGTGTAGACACACAGCTCAAGGTAGCAGAGCGAGGATTGAAACCCAAGCCTGTCCAAGTCCGAAATCCCTCTCTCTCCACACTCCAACATTGCCTCTTGCAAGCTTTAGTCTTCTGCATGCCTTGCCTAATTTGCACAGTGTAGTACTTATTTTTGTCATTGTTTTCTTTGGTTTTTGCCTTTTTATAATAATTTATGCCATTTACTCCAATATCTGTATTTCTGGTGTGCTAGACTAAATCCCTGAATCTCTGGAAATGCTGATTGGGACCTCTTGGGTCAATAAGTAAGTGGATATATGTGCGTGGGAAAGAACTAGATGTATAGTTTCTTTATTTTTCTAAGTGGATTATTTCTAATGCTTTTAAAGACATTAAGCAAATATAACCAGTTCTTCCCATGTTAGAAAGTAGATATTTTCAACATCAACATTGGGTGTGCCAGAACCCACAGTCTGGTGTGAACTGAGATGAACCAATGCAGGGCTACTCACAGTGTAGGGAAGCGGGATGGAAGATTTAGATTTAGATTCTAGTCCCAGATCTGCTAATAAGTTGAGGGTGACCCTACATAATTAACTGTGGAACCTCACTCCCTGTCCTCAGTTTCCTTGTGTCTAAAAGGAGAGCATGCAGAGTTCTACAGTTCAGTGAGTTTTCCTTCCCTGGAAAGCAGATCACTCATATGTACAAGAGGATTTGTGAGCTTTCTTCAGTGATGGGATGACATTAGGCCTTTTCAAAGGAGCTAGCCAAATGCCACTCCTCTGATCATATTCCAAGTGACGAAAGGTCATCCCCATAGTAGATAAACCATGTGTACAGATGGAGCTGGTGGAGGATGATTTGTCCCCAGCAAATGACATTTACTTTGGAGGTGAGTAAAGCAGGAAGCAGATCCACATGCTGAGGATAGAATATCAAGTTTTAGAGAGTCGAGTTTCCGTTCTTCCAGGTATCTTAGAAAGCTAGCATATATAGGCTGGACCTACTGGACTCTTTAAGACTATAATTTTAACCCACAAAACTTTTTTTACCTTTTGTATATTAATATAAAGATTTTGATAAGAATTCTGTTGCTAATAATGGATTTTTCTTTTAAAAAAATTTCCTGAAGTGAATGCCTATTGATCCCTTTTAATTTCTTGATCTGTTTAATGAAGAATGACATCTAAAACTTTCAAATTATCCCCTTTTTATGTCAACTAAAATTATTTTACTCAAGATTAGTGTTTTCCATAAATTTTACAATAAACATTAAATCACTATTCAGTTTTTATCTATAAGAAATTTTACCAATTGTTGCTTTTACCAATGTGAGTTATCTTTTGTGGCAATTATCTCTACCAGGCACTCTTTTCACAGGCCCACATTTGCCCATTTCAACCTTACCATTTACCAACCCTTACCTTTACCAATGGCCTTGGTCCATGTTATTCTCTGAGAATTATTTATACTAGTAAAAATCATTATTAGATAAAAGACTGATAACTTGTATTTGTTTCTAAAATAATCTATGAAAACAATAGGAGCAATTCCCCTTGAATATTCGAGGATTGCTCTATTCCCCAGGACTAATGTGTTATTAACCCAGTTCTTTTCCATACTTCTGATGACACTGCATATTGTTTACTAAGGGTCCATATTCCCGGTAGAGCAAAGAGAAAAGAACACTGTCAAAATGATGCAGACTGAATGTTTTGTTTCCTTATGTAGATGCAAGGTAAAAAGATGCAAAATATTAGGACCAATTCTTCATGTAATCCACAAAAATCCTTCTTATTCATTCATGGAGCAAGAATTGTTTAAGTACCTCCAGTATGCCAACTAGTATTCTAAACACTAGGGATACCAAGTGATAGGAAAAAAAAAAAAAAGGTGAAGTCCTTTCCCTTATGGAGTTTACATTCTAAGGGAGAAAGATAAATAATTTCAGATATTGGGTCTTGTATAGAGTAATAGGATATAGAGTGACTTGGGTGGCAGAATCTACCCTTGATGGGATAGCCAGAGAAGCCCTCTTGGAGAAGATGACATTGAGCTAAAATTTGAATGATGAGAAGAAACTCATCTAAATAAACAGGACAAAACAGACATGAGAATCTGAGAAGTGGAATCCTAAAAGTAACTGGTCCAATGGTCTCCAAGTATTTTATTGATTATACATCTCATAACTTAAAATTTTTTGAGCACACATCAGTGATGTGTATTTAGTTATTCATAAATTTTGTTATTTATTGCTATAATAATTATGTATCACAAACCACCCCAAAACTCAATGGCTTAAAATGTCAAGCATTTATTTAGCTCACAAGCTTGCAAGTCAACAATTTAGACTGGTTTCAACTAGAAGGTTCTTCTCATTTGGGCTGGTGTCAGTGACTCACGTCTGATAGTCAGCTGACTGACAGCTGGGATGAAGAGGGAGACTAAGCCACATGCTTTTATCCTCCAGCAGGCATGTATCCATGGCTATGGCAAAGGGCGAGAGAGAGAGAGTGCAAGCCCAATCATGCAAGCACTGTAGAAGCTTCTGTTCTTGTCATTTGTTCAACCCATTGGCCAAAGCAAGTCACAAGGTCAAACTCAGAGCCAAAGGGCGGAGCAGGCTGGCCCACTCATGGTAGGAAAGCACTGCAAAGTTATATGGCAAAGAGCTTGGATACAGGAAGATGTAAAGAATCGGGTCCAGTAATACAGTCACTCTACTGCAGTAAGATATTACTGCTCAGTTATACTATACACACCAGAAAACATACACTCATACATTGCAAATTTAAAGATGAGGTAAAGAAAAATGTGATTGCTATTTTCTTGCACCACTCCTGTGCTGTCTCCCTTGGGATATATTCATCCACATGAGAGACAGATTCTCTAATCTGTTCTTCCATGTGTGTTTAGTACTTTCAGACAATTCCAAAATCTGACTTGCTTTTAATAATCTTCCCTCTCTCTATGCCAAGATCCTGAAAACTTCCTTTGTCATTCAACTCAGGGTTTTAGGAGGAATACAGTAATTTTCATTATTGTGAATTCTCCTACAGCTGCAAAACAAATCCCTCGTGGACACGCATGTCTGCAGATGCTCATGCACTAGGATATAAGATAGACCCGTCCTACTCGTCTGTCATATGGAGGTTATTTGTAAGCACTAATGTAATAGGAAACATATGTCAAGTACTAGCCTGAAGGCCATCCACAATAAATAGAGGCTACCATATCTGACAGGTTGATAGTCTTTATCACATGGAAGCAATAACGTTTGCTCCCAGATTCATTTTGGGGAAAATAGGAGGGATTCCTTCTCTACTGGGGAAAAGAGAAAGTCTGTAAGACATACAAAAGGGTCAGCTGTTCTATCTTGGGAGAGCTTCCGTGTGTCCAGATAAACAGGCCCACGCTTGGAGCAGCTCCAGCCATGTTGAGGCTCTCCGGGTTGCCTGGGTGTGGGAAATGAACAGTGCAGCTAACAAGAACAATTAGCTCTCTGATGAAGCTGTGATCACTGGCCTCCCGTGTGGCTGTGTTTTTAAGTAGAAAGGGGCAATTAGACTGTTCAACAGACCATTTCCTTCTGAGCTTTCCAGAACAAGTTAAAGCTGTAGAAATCAAACAGGAAACTATGTCATGAACTCATTCCTTCAAAAACTCTTCAAAAAGAAAATTTATCTGTAGCTGAGGCATCAGATAATTGTGCCCCAGAGACCACGCTCCTATCTTTATTTACCTAAAGTACGTTATTATTTCCTTGCAAATAGGTGGCACTTATAAGTTCACTGAGATTTATTTTATTTTGCTGATTGCCTGCTTGCTTTGAGAAGACCCATTTGGAAGGTGAATCGGTCAAGTTACAGTCAGGAAAACAGAAAAAAAAAAAGGTGGATATTTTAAACAGAAGGAATTTGATGCAGGGAGATAGATATATAGGTGTTCAGAGGCGGGAGAAGCAAAAGGGCAAATTGAGATAACCCAAAGATTGGTTACTGTAGGAAAGAGCTGTAGCCCTAGAATGGGGGGAGCAAACAGGAGAAGGTAGACTTATCAGAACCTAGGAGTACAGAAGGGATCCCTGTGTAGCCGTTGCAAGGACTCCTAAGATGATACTGTAAGGTTGGTGTCGCAATGCCTGAGCCATAGCTATCTGCTGTTATTGGAGGATGATGACAGAAACCAGAAGGGGGCATAGAGACCCTTATCTTCTTATCCCACATTCTAGCCTCCCAACAGTGTCTCTCATTGGCAGAACATAACCAGAAGACAGCAGGCAAGGGAATCTGGGAAATGTAGTTTGCAGATTCCCAGCAGCAGAATTACAGAAAAGAGTACATAAGAGTGTCAGGCTTGGGACTGAGAGACCATGGGTAAATGTCTAGCATAGAAGGCATTCAAGTTCTCCTAGCTCCTTCAGAAATAGCACAGGAGCCGTAAATGGGGCAAAGGCTATTAGGCACTTTTATGACTTTTGATCTTGTGGACTCCTGATTTTGGGGTGCTCTCCATTTATCTCTTTAAACTCTGCTCCTCCTGTTGACCAGTATGACCTAAGGGGGACATGATAGAATTGTAGAGGGCAGGGAGAAGTACCAAGTAAGCTGAGGATGCAGAGGGCATCACCATTATTGTGTACCTTTCTGTGGATAGATTAATAGATCCCCAACTTATCTTAGCTTTTGCACACCTCTTTATTATACAATTTATGTACACGTCAGAACTTTAATATACAGATGAGGCTGGCTGTTCTCTTCAAGGTGGTCACCTATGACCTCGTTCTTACAGTACTTCCACTGATCAAAACATTCTTTGAATTCCACTGAGGAATTATCTTCAGAGCCTGTGACATGTGCATTTGCCTCTTTGTAATGTTGCTCAATCTTTCCCTTTTTGAGGGTGGATTCAATATTTTAAGTCAAGACCCTTGAGTTTAAGATTGGCACCTAGAGGTAACCCTCAAGGTGGATAAGACTACTTGTCTCAAGGTCATGCCACTGAATCCTATGTGCGGATTATAATCCAAAAGAGGAATTCCTAAAATGTTTGTAGCGATAGTAGCATGGATAGGCTACCTATAGCCTTTGAACCAAAATCCTTTAAAGGACAACAAGCATTGAGATATATAATACTTTTAGGCAGAAAATGTTAGTCTTTACTACCTCAAATTCTTTGGGAACAACTGGAAGGGGTGTTAATTGTTTTGAAAAATCAGTTTTATTCCCTGGGATCATAATTCCTAGATGCATGGATTACTGAGTGCCAAGATTTAATCTCTGTCCAATTCATTATGAAGGAAACAAACATTCCTTGTTGAAGGAGAAATTCAAGTATAGTCATTCTAAAGTTTCAGAGAAACATTGGATGCTTGTCTTCCTTGTAATGTTTAGCAGGCCAGGATTTGCTGATTAGCGGGTGAGCTGCTGCGAGGAAGGTCACATTCTGGCTTTTGGGACCCAAAGGCTAGGGAAAATATGTAAGTTTTTGAAAGAATGGTAAGTTTCCAGTTTATACAGTGGCTGAGCCAGCCAGAGTTTTTCAGGATATTAAGATGGATCGTAGAAATTTTGGTCATATTTCCAATTCCAACTCCTGCTAATTTGAGAACTCACTCTGTGAAGGCACGGGTCAATCTGGGGCCTTCAATTTTTAACGCTCATCCAGGGAGAAATGATTTGGCCTGTGGAACGTGGAGAAAGAGTTCCCCAAAGACAAGGAATCCTGAGTTCCTCTTGGAGCCAAGGAGCAAGAAACAGATCACAGTTGAGTCAAGTTATCCACAAAACAGACAATGCATAAATTAGCTATGCATTTTGAATAGATTCTTCAGGGCCAGTCATACAGAGCCTCTGAGCAGAACAGATCTTTTGTCTAAAAATAGAGATCCAAGATATATAAAAATATTTAGACCATATTATGCACATCAAATATTTAGTCTTCCTTAAGCCAATTCTCTTTGCTTTTGACTTTTTACTCAAAGTTCAGCCAAAAGAAAATGAAGTTGGGGTTGGGTGTGAAGCAAAGCCAGTGTGGAGACTGATCAGAAGTTTAAAATAGGTACGTTGTCTCAGTTATTTTCCTTCCTCTGTCTCCCCCTAGCCTCCCCTCCCTCCCCCAGTCTTGCACCCCGGAGGAGCTGGTTTACCTCAAAGCCTGTGCTTTGCCTTTAAATGGATGCTTCTTGTTCTAAAACTACCCCTTCCTGTCACTCATCCCTATATCCAACTCCCTTTAGGCCTCCTCCAGGGAAAGTAGACTGACTAAACATTCCCACGGAGGTGTGAAGTGACATATGAAAACTGTTGTTCAGGTCACACACCAGGACAGAGTCTGACTCAGCTTCTTTTATTTTTGACAGGGCCAGTGACAAGAAACACATGAAGGAAGAGACACAAGAATGCAAGCATACTTTGAGATTAACCTATGATCCCACTTTATCACTCCCTCTCATCACCCCTTGGTCCAGAAGATAGGAGAAGGGGGGGCCAGCCCGGTGGCGTAGTGGTTAAGTTTGCGTGCTCTGCTTTGGCGGCCCGGGGTTCACAGTTCAAATCCCGGGCGCGGACCTACACACTGCTCATCAAGCCATGCTGTGGTGGCATCCCACATATAAAATAGAGGAAGACTGGCAACAGACGTTAGCTAAGGGCCAATCTTCCTCACCAAAAACAAAACAAAAAAAAACAGAAGGTAGGAAAAGGAGATTCTCTACTGGAGCCAGATGATCTCCCTCACACAGCATTCAGCAGGAGCCAGGGAGGAGCCGGTTCCCACAGCCCGTTGGTCTAATAAGCATAAGAACTAACATTATCACTCACATGCCTGTGCCAGGCACTCCTTCAATTCCCATACCAACCCCATGAGGTCGGTACTGTTATTCTCCCTGCATATTGAAAGTAGAAACAGAGGCAGAGAGAATTTAGGTGACTTGCCCAAGTCACATAGCTGGGAAGTGGATTCAGACCCACATAGCCTAGTGCCATCCATACCTGTTTCCTTCACCTAGTCTGCACCATCCTGCCTCTCTTAGATGCTTGCTTGGATTCTTCCACCTTGTTAGGGGCCACCCACCCCTCAGCAGGTCTCTCATCAGAGATGGAGCAGTGAGAGGTGGTGTGTCACCCACCCCAAAGAGGAGGTGCAACTTTTCTTTTTATGGGCTGCATGGAGCTGTGGTTCTTATCAGCTCCACCAGATTGGCCCAGCTGGCCCACTTCTCCATTTCATTTTAATTAATTAGTCGCCCTTATTCTAAGCTCAGACTACCCCCTACATCATCAAAACAAGAATGTTTAAGTTTCTAAGCTATAGGCCGTCTTGGTATGGATCAACAAGATGACTTTGTACAGTTTACTACCACCTGCTGGAAAACTGTAGCAACAATGCAAACCAATGAAGCCAACAGTGCCCCCTAGAGTTGTGCAATGCACAATTTTTTCAACTGTCATCAACAGCCCTGCCTAAAAGGCTTCTAGTAATTTCGCCAACAGTCTGGGGACCAAAGGGAGTCTCAGTACATGAGCCATGAAAGACAGGCCCTGAGAGATTTTCCCGGGTTTTCTCTGGCTACACTGACTGATAACTAGTCCCATGGGCATCTGCATTTTAAAACAGAAGCTTGTTAACCTAAATAAATCGCTAATTAGTGGAATTTAAAGCAGTGTGATAAGAGTGATTGGAAGAATTTCATGCAAGGTGAACATATTTTTGGTCGGTGATGTCTTACAAAAGTCCTTTCGCAAAATAATGAGAGTGTGTTCCTCCAGACATTTGCAATTAAGGCACTTTCTTATAAAATCTCTCATTTGAACTACATAAGAACTCTGAGAAGTGTTACAGTCGTCTCCATTTTAAGGATGACAGAAGGACAACGGAGGAGGTTGTTTAATGCCTTTTGTGTGCCTGATGTTGTGTTAAGTGCTTTATATTCATTTTCTTATTTAGTCTTCATGAGAATCCTGAGAGTTAGGTATTATCCTCTCATTTTAGATGAAGGAACCAAGGCTTAGAGACTGAATGTTTTCCTCAAGGTCACTCAGCTAGGAAGGGTCAGAGTCAGGACTTGAACCCAGGTCTGACTGGTTCTAAGCTCTTTCCAGTACGTATATCATGGAGGCAAATCCAGGGACCCCCATCCTAAAGGTGGCCCAGTAGAGGGGAGGTAAAGGCCTACGTTTATTGAACCCATTCTACACCAGCAACTTTACACGTTATCCTGCATGCTCTTCATATTTAAAGTAGGTATTATCTCCCCTGTACTGTATATAAGAAAATTTATAAGTGATAGTCAGGATTTAAACCCAAGTCCTACAGCTCCAGAGCTTGCGTTCTTTCCATGGCACAGATCCTGCAGGCAGACTTTCTGGAATCTCCTAAAGCTGGCTCCGTGGGGAGCTGTTACATGACCCACGTGCACCTTCAGGAAGAAGAGGACACTTCCCTGCCTGGTCCTCTCCCTGTCTTCTCCTCCCTCATGATGCTAACGATTCCATCCTGCTTTCCTTCCTGTACAGGTGAGCATCTCCACTGTGGGCTATGGAGACATGTACCCGGAGACCCACCTGGGCAGGCTTTTTGCCTTCCTCTGCATTGCTTTCGGGATCATCCTCAACGGGATGCCCATTTCCATCCTCTACAACAAGTTCTCTGATTACTACAGCAAGCTCAAGGCTTATGAGTACACTGCCATCCGAAGGGAAAGGGGAAAGGTGGACTTCCTGCAGAGAGCCAGAAAGAAGATGGCTGAGTGTTTGGCTGGAAGCAACCCACAGCCCACCCCAAGGAGAGAGAATTAATATTTCGTAAGATGTGTGGCTGGTAGATCCCGTGAACTTCAAGGCTTCATTTTTCCTTCCTTTTTTTATTATTACGATTGGCAGTGAAAGGGCACATGAAGCAGACATACAGAAAGACCATTCAGCTGACAAAGTTCTACCTCTAGAAGTGTTCATTTTGGCCCCTACTGCCTTATATTGCTCTTTAACTGTGTTGTGTGAGAGTCTTGACCTTCCCAATGACATGGGTGTTGAAAACTCCTTGAGAGGAACAACATTTTAGATTTCTCTTGTAGCTTCTCATGGCTTCTCAATCAATATTTTTGGACTTGAGTTGACTTGAGAAGAATTTCCTTACATTAAAGAAGAAAACATCCTTAATTTTCCAGAGAAAGGGAGTGTTGCAGCAGGAACTGTATGAGCTTTGACGTTATACCAGCCTCGGTCAGAAGCCCAAGTCTACCAGCTGTAGGATCTGGGGCAAGTTACTTTAACTGTTTCTTCAACTGTAAAATGTGGGTAATAAGATCTACCTTGTAATATGAGTGTAGGGATTGGAGATAATATTTATAAATGCTCAATAAATGGTAGCTGTTAGAATTGTTCCAGTGAGTGTTGTCTAGTAGATTCTCTAGACCAGTGGTTCTCAATCCAAAGAGATTTTGTCGTCCCCCCAACCCTGGGACCCATTTGGCAGTGTCTGGAGACATTTTGGATTGTCACTGTGGTGAGGGAGGATGAGAGGGGCTACAGGCACCTAGTAAGTAGAGGCCTGGGATGCAGCTAAACACGCACAGGACAGGCCCCATAACAAAGAATTATCTGACCCAAAACATCAATAGAGCCAAAGTTGAGAAACCCTGGTGTAGACTTAATGTGGGAGCCCCCAGACTTGACCTGTGAAACATAGCAAAGTGAGCGAATCCCCTCTCCCTTAATGGGAGCCCCCACATGTCCTCACCTCTCTGGGCCTGCTTTCCCTCACCTTTCCACGAAAAAAACAAAAACAAACCAAAAAAACCCGCCTTTTGGACAACTTTTCTGGGCTGACCACTGAGCAAAGGGAATTAAGTCTACAAGGCCTCCACTCTGGGCTCCATCTGTGGGTCAGAAAACCAATTCCCACAGGACGTTGGTCCTTTCTCTCCATGCCCCTTTTTCCTCCTAATTCCTTCCTCCCTCCATAGGACTATTGGAATTGAAGCCCTGAAATGAAAGGCTCGTTTGAACTGAGCAAACAGAGATTGCCCCGTTACCAGAGCTTTTGCCACGCTGACCATCAAATTTGTCTCAGGCAGGACTGGACCTACACTTGTGTCATAAAAATAAGAGTAATTGTTTTGTGTGTTCCTACAGTGACAGGCACAGTGGGTTGTATTTTATAACTTCATTTAATCCTTAATACATCCCTAAATAAGATATTATATTCATTTTTGTTTTAGGAAGAAACAGAGGTTCAGAGAGGTTAAGTAATTCGGCAAAGTTGACACAGTCAGTAAATGGTGGGGCTGGGCTTCAAGCCGAGGTCTGGCTGATCCCTAAGGCTCTTGCTTACTAAAAAATTATTTATTGTTTATCTGCAGTTCACATTTAACTGGGTGTCCTGTATTGCTGTTTGCTAAACCCAGCAACCCTATACTATTGCTTTTGAGAGACAAAGGTACCCTCAAGTCCTAAAACCCCACCCAAACAGCAAGACCCTCGGCCAAGGAGGACTTCTCTCCCCTCTTGCCAAATAAAACAGGGAAGAATTCTGAATCAGGCTCCTTGCCAGAAACAATCATGAAAACAGGGTTATAACACGCAGGAGGCCTGGAGCTCAGCATATGGAACCACCCGACATGCTCAGGGCAGCAGCCCCTTCCAGCCCACCTCCAGCCTTCCAGCTCCTTCTGAGGTCTCCAGGGGAGAGGTTTGTTGATGAAGCGCGACGCTGGGGCTGTTAAGGACACAGGGAATAGGAAGGGCCAGTGTCCATCACCTCTCCCTCTGCTACAGGCCCAGAGAGAATGACCCAGACCTGCCCCAGAGACTCCCTGAGAGAGAGGGGTGAGGACTGGTGGGGGGAAGGGTGGGGAGAAGGGTGGGGAGGTCTTGGTGAGGAAGATGAACTTTTCCAGGTCCCTGGCAGGGAATCTAGTAAATGGCAGTGGCCCCTTCCTCCCAATCTCCCTGGCCACATCTGCTCAGACAGCTGTGCTCCGCCTCCCAAGAGAATGAGAATGGCAGACAGAAGGGAATTAAAACAAAAAGAACCAACAGTCTGGGAGCCCCACTGTACACCAGGCACAGAACCAACATTATTTCATTTAATCCTTCAAATGCCCTATGAAGTAGGTTTCAAGGTAGTTGTTTACAGAGCCTTAGCCACATTGAACTTGACGTGGTCTTTGCACCTTCATTTGAAACCTGGCTCTGCCATTTCCTATGAGGTTGAACCATCAAAAACAGCGGAATATTGGCAATTTCATATGGTATAACCTAATAGTTGTGTGGTTACTTATTTTCTATGAGCCTCAGTTTCTGCATCGTTACAATGGAGATAAGAATAGTGTCTTCCTCAGGGTTGTGGTAGTAATTAAATGACATAATGTGTTATAAAACCTTAGCACACTGTTTGGCACATGTTAAGAACTAAATAAGTGTGGGATGCAATTATCATCATCATTAATATTTTGCCGGCTACACCGGAAAACCGGACAAGCTCAGATAGTCACTTGTCGTCAAGGAGGGAATTCTGTGGATGAAGACAGATTTGAATCCTGTTGCCAACCCCCTAGCCCATCCAGGCCCATGCACAAGGATCTAGACCAGTCTGTCCAATAGAACTTTCTATAATGGTGGAAACATTATGCACCAATACAATATAACCATGTGTGACTATTGAGCACCTGAAATGCAGGTAGTGTGATTCAGGAACTAAATTTTTTATTTTATTTAATTTTAATTTCATTTAAAATTTAAATGGTCACACGTGGCTTCAGGCTGCTATATTGGGCAATGCAGTTGTAGGCCTTTCTTCTGCCCTTGCAGAGGCGTCTGCTCTGAGATTAGGAGGGGTATTTGGCTTTTTGTAAGGGAGTGGGACTGAGAAAAGATGAAGAAAACATGACAGTCCCCCTGTTCTGGCCTGGAAGCCAAGGCGGGTTCCAGGACAACGCAGACAGCATTGGAAGCAGAGGTTGTTGATCTGACGAGTGGGATGGAATGGCCTCCCTTGTTAAAGAGGAAGAGGATAAAATGTTCCCAAGCCAACAAAACAACAACCAAGAGCTCTGAAAGGACCATCTCCATTATTTAAGTGGGTCCCAACCTTCACCCTGAGGGACGTTTGGGCTCCCTCACTTGTGCCAGCTCAAGGCCATATACCATCCACATAAACTTCTAACCCAAACCTGATCAAAAACACTTCCCTTATTTTACCTCAGTTTCAAGGATATAAGCAGACATGTTCACAAAAAGTCTTTCTTAAAGAGAAAACATTAGATTATCACCTAAAAAAAAAAAATGTTCCCAAAGATTCTAGGTCCGGGAAAGTACATTTAAGTTTTGCTGAGCTTCAAATTCCCTTCTCGCAGGCTGATGCCCTGGCCCCCAAAATCAGGATGACTGTGGTTCCCTCCATCTCAGTGGTCCCTCCTCCCTCCCTGTTCATCTGTGATGTGACCTCTTTAAAACTCAGGTCAGTTCTGCTATGTGTATTCTACAATCTATGTCTATTCTTATGTGCTGGGCCTTCTCCATGTGTCCTTCCAGAGCCATTGTTCACACTTCTCTGCCCTGCTGCATGGTCCGAAGGGTCTGCCTCCCATGTCTGTACCACCCAGGCTCCCTTGCCCTCTGGCAGGGTATCAGCACTGAGAGGAGAGAACATCCTGGGTATTTATTCCCACCCTCTCTCTGTGTGGCCACAGTCTGGATAGCATAGAGGCTGAGTTCCCACAGCCATGGCTCCGTTGAGCAGCCATCTTGTTTGGCCATAGTACTCACAGGTTCCAGTAACACCTTTCTCTCCTGTGTCCCTTTGGGCCTATGAGTGACAATGGCTTCTTGCTGTTGCTAGTCGCTGCATATCTCACCACCCCTTGTTGGTTCCCTTAATCCTGGCCACACCTCTGTAAATAGAATATTTATTAAAATCTCCTTGAATAAACTCTTTAAGTGTGCCATCAATGTCCTATTGGGATTCTGATTAGTACATCATGTCTACCTTAAGAAAAATATATTGCTCATATTCCCCAAATAACACCGACAAGATGAGTCATGTTTATCTGAAGATGCATGCCTCCCCAACATATCACCCCACACTGAGAAACACAGCCCTTGAACTCACAGACCAGGAGGCATATCCAGCTCACAGATGTTTGTTTGGTAGGGCAGTGATGACTGGCACCCTTAAATGCCAATAAATGATTCATCTTTCCTGTCAAAGGCCTCCAGCTCTGCTCTTCTTAGGAGCAGTTTTCAATGACTCAGTCTGTTGACTTCCCTTCCCCTGCCCCATCCCACACATACTAATGGATTTTCATGACTACGTGATGGAACCATGTGCATAAAATAAGTTGGTATATATGCATCTAGGAACAGAAGTTTTGGTGCCCTCTGAGGATATCAAGAAATCATCTTGGCCAGGATCCTACCTTCACTCAGGTAAGGTTGTATTAACCTTATTTTATAAGTGATAAAACTGAAACCCAGCAAAGTTGGAAAAAAATGCCCAGAAATGGCAAACATCTGTTTCCCAGGCTGCCACCCCCTTCCATGACCACAGCAGACATTCTTAATCACATTACTCTCTCCCATTGGAGAGTCTTCTCTTCACAGTTCTCGAGCAGCCAACACATCTGTCAGAGTTGACACTCAAACCCTGTTTAGCATCCTGGCACGTGCTCAGACTTTAAAAAATTAGAAAGTGGGACTGGAAATCAGTCTCAATCGCCTCCTAGTGCACTGTTCTTTTTGAAGGATTTCCTTGTAAATCCAGAAAACCTGCATAGACTGTGCTCATGCTACCCTTAATA